CCTGTCTGGCCCCTTTCACCTAGTATTTGAGCACCTCAAAATCTTTCATGTAGCTAGGAAGGGGCTGTCTCCCTTGCACAGATGGGGAAACTGAGGCACATAGCAGCTAAGTGACTTCCCTGGCACCACACAGGGAGCCCAGGGGTAGAGCAGGGACTTAAACCCAGCTCCCACGCATCCCAGGCTGATGCTCTAACCCGCGGGCCATCCTTCTGCTTTAGCCAGCCTGTTGTAAATGGGTACAGTTCTAAAAATGCCCTCCAGCGCCAGGTGTTCCAGAGCGCTGACAGCCTGATAGCTTTGTTCTGTGTCTGTACAGGGCCTGGCACAGTGGGGTCCTGGTTGACTCAGTTTCCCAGGTGCTACCGTAATATACCTAATAGAAATAAAAAAATGTACAGCGATGGCACTATGGGGTCTTGTTCCATGATTGGAGTGCCTAGGTGCTATCGTAATGTACCGAATAGCAATAAAAATGTACAGCACCTGACACGCCTGCTCCGTGACTGGAGTTCCTAGGTGCTACCCAAAATAGGCTAACAGCAGAGCATGCTCACGCCACCTCCACTGTGGCCGATGGCAATACAGAGGTGCAATGGACAAACCACGGTCTCATCTGTACAAGTGCCTCTAGGCTAAAACATCAAAGGACCGATGCAGTTCTGCGCAACTGGCTGCCTCGGCGATAGCCCTGATCTGAGGACACCGTGGAGACTCGACTCGTTGCACCCACAGGAGGGCCTGGTCAGAGCGAGAACTGTTATGGGAGATTTTCAGAGGCACGGTGGTGGTGACCTACCTAACTCCCTTTGACGTTCCGAATTAGGCACCTAACTTTGTACCTTTGACAATCGTGGGACAGCTCAGTCCACGTAAAACTCACCTGCAGCCTGCTTTATGAATCGGTGCCGAACGCCAGGCTTTGGCGTGCTCCCTCCAGCATGCCTGCTGTGGCGAAAGCGTCTACGCAAATCCGCTAAATACAACAGATGCCAATAATCCGTTTAGCCAATGCAAGTGTAGAACACAGTTCGAACAGATGCAACTATTCATAGATTTCAAGGCCAGATGGGACCACTGGGATCACCTAGTCTGACCTGTGCCGCACAGGCTCTCTTTCAGGTTTTTGTTTAAAATTTCCCAGGAAGTGATCAGGGTTGATTACACAACAATGGGTGAAAATCAGGGCGAAAAATGAACTGCACGGATTTCTGGGTCGATATTGGATTTAATAGCGGGAGATGGGGGGGCAGAAGAAAGCAACAGAGAGGGGGAAAGGAGGAGTATTGAAAATGAAGGCAGTTGAATGCGGTGGTTTGGTTAAGAAGCTGTCCATTAACCGTGTGAACATCGACGCAGGCGTGTCTGCATCTCCCACGACCTTGCTTTGACGGACATGGATTGACACTCGCTTCCCGCCCCTCCCAGCTGATGTGCAACTTGCAATATTTCCCCCCCACCACCACGTGGTGGGAAGCACATGGTCTTCGAAGGGAGGAGCTTCTTTTTCTCTGTGCCCGCCCCCCAGCGCCCTCCAGCCAATGGGAAGCGAGGGCTAAGGTGGCTGGTGTCTCAACGTTCTGAGCCGGCTGGGGAACAGCTGCTGGGGGGGCCGCCGCTGCGGGCCTGGGAGGCTCCGAGCAGGTAGGGGGGGGGGGCTGTGTGTGTGTGTGTGTG